CCCCCTCCCCCCTCCCCTTCCACCCCCACCCCCCACCCTCGGATCGACTTGACGTCGTGATCTGGTCTGAGAGCAGGAACAGCCGCCAACTAGCCCATGCCAACACCCACCACACACACACACACACACACACACACCCAGCTACATCTGCTCCACCTCACCATGCAACCCAATTCAGATCGACCCGTAGCATGCAAGCTGGTCGACGCAAAAGTGACTGCGAGTTGATGACCCCACCGGCACGGCCATCGAGCCGACGAGTGAGCGAACGTCAACGAGGTGAGCCAGCGACAAGCGACAAGCCGTTCTTCAGACGACGTCGCACACGCGTCTCGGGCATTGTACGGGCGAGACCATGGGAGACTCTCTGTTCTCCGAGTATGCCTCTGACTTTGGTGACATTACTCTCGACATTTCCCGCAATGTCTACAACATTCCCTCTCTCTCAGGAGGTACGTATTGCCCACACCAGCCACCCTCCTCCCTCCGCCGACCTCGTGCCCCAACCTCGTTCGCTCCATTCATATCCAATCTGACATCAATTTTGGCCCCTCTCCAAATGGGTTTCAACCCCAGCACGCACCCCACACAACCACATCCCCACACTCACAACTCGCTCAATGGCAGCTGAGAAGAAGGACGCCGTGGCAGAGACACAGCAACAGCTCGATGAGGCCGAGTCGGTGGTACGCTCCATCCCTCCCCACTCCCCTACCCCCCCCCCCCCCCCGCCCCCCCAACTCACTCACATCATCATCATCGCCATTGTTGTCATCAAACTCGCAAACGCCCGCAAACCGCACAGATCCAACAAATGTCGTTTGAGCTCGAGTCACTCCCGCGGTCTGAGGCTGCCAGGCATCAGTCCAAGCTGACCGAGTGCGAGGTGGCGCTGGCCAAGCTGCGGAAGGAGTTCCGTGAGGCCAAGTTTGCGCTGCCCAAGGCCGATGCAGCGCGGTCGGCGCTGATGGGCGACTACGACGAGGAGGTTGCTCAGCGCTCAATGGACCAGCGTGAGCGGCTGCTCGACTCGACCCGTCAGCTCCACCGCGACTCGGAGCGCATCCAGGACATCCAGCGGATCGCACTCGAGACAGAGGCCACTGGCGGCGAGATCCTCAGCACGCTCGGCGAGAACCGCGAACAGATCAACCGCATGCGGTCAAACCTCCACGTCGCCGACGCCAACATCGGCCGCGGTGGCCGGTTCATTCGCTCCATGCAGCGCCGCTCCGTCGTCAACAAGCTCATCATCGCCTCCATCATCCTCTTCCTCGTCGTCACCATCATCCTCGTTGTCTACTTTAAGTGGATCAAGAAGAAGAAGAAGCCCACCACCCAGCAGCCTGCAAACTCGGGCGGCTCGGGCACGGACACAAACTCGGTCATGGCCCAGTTCTTCTCCTTGTGAAGAGCAACTCCTCGTCCTGCACTACTGCTCCAGCACAAGCGCGCCCGCCGCGCCGCAGTACCCCTCGTGCCGCATAAACAGCGCCTCCATCTCGCCCTGCGACCAGAGCGCGACGTAGAACGCGAGCGTCCGCTGCGCAATCGGCGTGTGCCGCTTCGGCTCGTGCCGCAGAAAGTTGCCCGTAAAGAAGATCCGGTCCATGCCCAGTCGCTGAGCGTTGAGGAACCCGACCTGCGCCACGTTCTGTGAGATCATGACCAGCAGCGCCAGGGCGAGATCCGCCCGCGAGTGCTGCGCCGCGTCGGTCGCCGCAGGCGTCCCGGCCCGCGCCACAAGCTTGCCAAAGCACGACGCCGTCAGCGACGCCGGCAGCACAAAGTCAGAGCCCACGTAGTCGCCGCCGTAGATGTCGCCCACCGTCATGTTGACCTTGGTCACGTCGCCCTGCTCCGCAAGATCCAGCGCCTCGTCAAACGTCTCCACCCCAAGCAGCAGCTTGGCGAGGCCCAGAAAGGTGGCTCCGCCCAGCGCTGTGCCCGAGACCCGCGAGAACGTGTCAAACGACTCGGCGAGAATGACAGAGACGCCGGACCCGATGTTGACCAAGAGGAACGGAAACGCTCCGCCCGAGATTGACCGCGGCACCTCCCACGACTTGCGCGAGACCGCAAACTCGAGCAGCGCCGCACGCGTCGCCTCAGCCGTCGCCCGCTCCGGCCGGTCAAACTCGAGCGAGTACGCCTCCTCACCCACAGACGTGAGCAGGAACGCCATGCCCGCCACCAGGCACTGCATCTCGTCCATCTTGCCCAGATCAACGCCGAGCGTGCCGCGGATGGCGTCGGCATACTTGTGCGCCCCACCACCCGTTGCCCCGAGCCGCCCGCTCCGCCCGCTCCGCCCATTCTGCTCACTCTGTCCATCATTGCCAGCCAGGCCCGATTGCTCAATAAGCCGGATGGCGCCCGACATGGCGCACGTCTCAAAGGTGACAAAGAACAGCGAGCCACCGAGCTCCGGCACCGCCCGCTGCAGATGCACATCATGTTTCCCAGTCTCGCCGTACCTGTCCGACGACCTGACAAAGGCCTCCACATCTGACGAGTGGGCGGCCGGGGTAAAGATGACGATCTTGGTCAACGTTCCCCCAATGTCCAACCCGACCGAGTCATCGTTATCCACAAAGACTGGCACAGAACCAAACTGCCCGAATCCTCCAACAAATCCTCTTTTTTCGCATCCCTCGCTCTGCCCGTCTTCAAATTCACGCCGTCCATCCATTGCTCGACCGCCGCCGTCACCGCTGCTCATGACCAAACTGCCGCCACGTCGACTGCTCGACTGCGCGACTCTGCTCAAACTCGTTCGCCGCCGTAACGTCCCAGCCACCACTCCAACCACGGGAACTGCTGCAAAGGCAAGTAAGGCAAGCGTGCGACACAACATGGTCCGGTCCACACCCTTGTCGTACCCGTCGCGCCGAGTCGAGTGACACACCTTTGAGTCACGCCTGCCCGCCGCCCGCCCGACCGCCGCTCGCCGCTCGCCCGCCGTCCGCCGCCCGCTCTCTCCGATTCGCCGCCTTATGACCGCATTCAAACCCGTACTCAGACCAACCAGCCCATCGATGCTTTACCTTTAACTACAAGCTGCCGCTGCCGCTAAAGCTGCTGCTGCTACTGCTGCTGCTGTCTATCGCCACCTTGCCAAGCTCGACAGACGTCTCCTCGCCAAGGTCTGGGTGGAGCACCGCTGCTTGCCACGCCTCGAGCTGCTCCGGCGGCACAAACTCACTGGCAGCATCAGAGACTCGCTTCCAGGCCCGCAGCCGCGACGACTCGGCGTCGCGCTCGCCGACAAAGGCCGCCGCGCTCACGCGTGCACGCCGCGCCTCGCGGACTTCAGCCAGCGCTGCAACCGCAATCGCCGCAAGCCCGAGCCCGATCGCTGAAAAGAGGAGGATCTCGCACACCAACCGCGAACCCGAGTTGGGGAATCGGTCTGCGTAAAAGACAAAGCCAAAGAGGAGAACAAATGAGAGCGCCACGTTGAGCCGCACTTCCAGCGTGTTGTGCACTGGCCGGAAGAACGGCTCGTGCTTCAGCTGGATCGCCGCAAAGCCGAGGAACACCGCAAGCAGCCCGCCCACAAGCCAGATTTGCAACGACGAGAGGAAGAGCGCCACGCCTACAAGCACAAGCCGCTTGCCCAGCAGCGCGACCTCGAACCACCAGAACGACTCGCGGAACGCCGTGTAGACAGACCCAAGCCGCCCAACAACCTCGCGCGTGTACAGCCGCTGCCGCGCCCGCCACAACGAGCTGCCGATAAACGCCGGCAGGCCGACCACAAACAGCACCGTCGCTGGGAAGCCTACCCCTGTAGCAGCAAAGACCCACTCAGACGACCCGCACCGCTCCGCAAGATCCGCATCAAGGTAGTACGTCCCATCAGGAAGCTTGGTGCAGTCGAAAATCGTGAGAATCGCCTTGGCGCACGGAATGTACATCAGCGGACCCACAGTGATCACCACACGCTGCAGCGTCGCCAAGCTCTCGCCCAGCCGCCCACGCCCGAGCCCATATCCCACCAACCCACAGCTGGCGAGCAGCCCAAGACCAATCGGCAGTAGCGCCTTGATCATGTACGCCGTGTAGAACGTCCCAGTATCGCACGTGCTGATGAACGCACCCACATCCAACGCGCCCACAGACGCCACGCCCACCGCATGGTCAACAGAGCTCGGCCAGTTAAAGTCGGACTTGCCCAGCAGGTCCAGCACCTGAAGATAGAGCAGCAGTGCAGAGAGCGCACGAGGCACCCGAGACGCAGGATGCCGCGAGTCCAGCCGCAGCAGCAATACGTCGCCGCGCTCCTCGCCCTCGGCGCGGATTTCGCCGCCTCCGGCTCGCACCTCACCCATCTTGCGCAGCGAGACCCCGATCACGGCCATGACCAGCCCCACCACCAGCACAAGAACAGCAACCATCGCGCCCAGCGAAGACGCCGAGCATTTGACGCACTCGCCCTGTGGCGCAGGGAACCATTCGTCCAAGCACCGTGCGCAGAACCGGCCAGTAGCGCCCGCCGCGCACGAGGCTCCCAGCCGCCCGCCTGCACACTGCTTCCGCCGCGGGCACTCGACAAACTTGGGCTCGCCGTTTGCGCTGCCCATGTCGAAAAAGCCCGCCAGGGCCTCGGGCCGCTGCTGCAGACCGGCCCTGCACCGCGCGCCGCGCGGGCACTCCACGCATGGCGTCGTCGGATCACGCCCCGCCGGCGACCAGTACCCTGACACGCATCCACAGTACGCCGACGCTTCGCTTGCAGTCGCGCTGTTGGTGACTGTCCCGTTGGCCAGCGCAGCGGCAAACGCATCGGCTGCAAAGAACGTGTCCTTGGGGCAGAGTAGGCAGAGCGTCGGCGTAGCAAGGACAGACGGCTCGGGACAGACAAACGTTGCGGTACAGACTGCCAAGCTTGTCTCGCTCGACACCGTCCCGGTCGCGCACGTGCTGCATCGGTACTCGGCCGGGATCTGGTTCGCCGCATCCAAGTCCAGCCCAAACCCATCGCCGCACGCCGCCAAGGCCACGCTCCCAACAGTCACCGCCGGCAACCGCGTCCCGCCAAGACTAAGCGCCAGACGAAGGTCCGGCGTCTCGTCAAGTGCCTCACGTGATAGCAGCGACGCCGTCGTCGAGGCAAACACTGCAAGTGGCGACGAGAGAAGCGTCTCCGTCCGAGTCCCCGCCAGCAAAGCCACATCGCTCGCCGCAGTCGCCGGCGCCACCGCCGCCGTAGCCACAACCGCCACTCGCTCGTCAACCACAGGCGTGCCAAACACGTCGCGGTACTCAACCTGCGGCGATGGATTCAGGCTTTGTCCCACCATGAGCTCAGCTTGCACGGCCTTGACCACAGTCGCAGACGCCACACCAGACGCCCACACCTCGCCGTAGCTTGCTCTCGAATCGATGATCGCGTTGCTATTCGCGCCCGCCGAGAGCCACGGGTGGCTAGCAGGTGCAACAAGCGGGCCAATGCCGAGCGCCGGCGAGTGGCAAACAAAGCCAAAGCCGCCGCCGCTTTCTGCCGAGTTCCCCGCCGCGGTTCCGGGCGCACCGACGACTCGAGCCCCGCACACAAACACTGCCCCGCCGTACGTCGCCGAGTTGGACACGAGCCCAGCACCCGTCATGTCCACTGCCACATGCGCGCTCGCTCCGCCGGCTGGCGCCGCCGCATCGAGAACCAGTGACGTCGAGCCGTACTCGCGCCCAGACTGGTGCGGCGGGAGAACTGCAAGCGAGTCGGCCACGCCCAGCGCCCCGCCCCACACCGCGCGGTTGCGGGCAAACATCCCGCCGCCCACCTCCACCGCCAAGTCGGTCATGTCGGCCAACGCATTGGCGCCGACCACCGCCACTGCACCGCCCACAAACGGCAACCCGGCTCCATCGGCAATGACCACATCGCGGACAAGCCGAAGACTCACGCCCGGTGCAGCCTCGACCAGCACCGCGCCGCCGACTGCGCCATAGAGGTCATCCGCAGGCCCGCACCGCGCCATGCTCACGTTGGTAAGCGTTGCTGACGAGCCTGCACCCGAGACGCGGAGGACCGCCCCACCCTCGACCGCGCCCTGGCGTGCCGGGACCGCGTCGCGGGCTGCGCCTGAGAGCTTGGCGAGGCGCACGTCCGCAAAAACAACATCGACTGCCTCGAGCGCCCCACCAGCCTCGACTCCCACCGCGCCGCCGCTCACGCTGGCGTCAAACACACAGTTGCGGAGGACGAGGACAGAACCGCGGCCCGAGACACGGAGCAATCCCTGCCGCGGCGCAATCGAGAGCGCGTTGGCGTTGCCGCCGCGAATCACGAGCCCGTCAAACACAAGGTGTGCTCCCGCAGTGACGTGGAAGAGGCCGACTCCGGTCCCGGCCCCACAGTCGATGATGACTGTGCCCGGGACGGCGGCAGCAACCACCACCGACTTGGTCGCAACCTCGTGATGGTGCTCCGGAAAGCAGCCGATGACGGCGGCCGGCGCAAGCTCAATCCGGGTGTGGGTACACGGCGGAGCAGCTGCAATAGCAGTCTCGATGCAGCCAACCGTAGTACACGTCACCGCCACTGTTTCCGCAACAAGCGGATGAAGCGACGGCGCTGACGAGTAGACACGAAGGTCCGACTTGTCGCTTCCTCCGTTGGCCCGCGAGACGGTGACAAAGTCAACAAAGGCGTCGCCGTCAAAGTCTAGCAGGACAACATGGTTCAAATCAGGCGTCGACATGTCGACGTAGACCGGGGTGGAGAAGCCGCCAAGACCCTCCACGTTGTACTGCACAAAGAATGTGGCAGCACCATCGGCCACCGCCGCCACGTCAAGGTCGCCATCGGCATCGATGTCGACGAGCGAGATCCAACGCGGAGTGACCAGGCCCTCGACAAGAACCTCAAAGGCGCCAAACGTCCCCAGCCCGTTCACGTTGCGGTACAGCCGCAGTCGCCGGTTATCCGAGACAGCAGCAACAATGTCGACGTCGCCGTCCGAGTCGACGTCGCCAGTGGCAATCGAGTCCAAATTCCTGTTCACCGCCGCCTCGATGATACTGCGGCTGCCAAACGAGGCAGCGCCGTCGGTGTTCGGCAGCCACACAAGACCAAACGAGGCGGCGTTGTTGGTGCCAGCAACAACATCAACGTACGTGTCGCCGTTGACGTCTGCCAGCTCGAGCGCTGTCACATCGTGCCCAAGCGCAGTGTCAAGGACGGCAAGCAAGACGTATGACCAACCGCCGTCGGCGTTGCGGTGGAGCTCGAGCGAGTCATCAAAGCCGACCACAAGATCCGGGTCACCGTCGCCATCCAAGTCGCCAAGCACTGCGCCTTGCGGAGAGACGCCGCTGGCGAGCACACGTTCCGAGCCAAAGCCGCCAGTGCCGTCGTTCTCGTAGCCAACAACCTCGCCCGGGCTGTTGTACACGACAACAACGTCGGCATCCCCGTCCAAGTCAACGTCGCAGGCCAGGACATAGCGCGGAATGCCGTAGTTGGTGGCGAGCGCAGCGCCGAGGCTGAGCGCGCCCAAAGTGCCACTGCCCGAGTTAAGGACAAGGTACACGTCGTCCGAGTAGTCGGCAACCATGACAAGGTCGGTGTTGTTGTCGGCATTAAAGTCTGCAGCGGCGACGTGATTGACGTTACTGAATGGAGCGGTGAGGTCAGTGAGGGTGTCGGCGAGGGTGATGGCACGTGGGACAACAACGCCGCGAGAGCCATAGACAGTGCCCGAGCTGCGGTCGAGCGAGAGGATGTCAATGACGGCGTCGCCAGTGACGTCACCAGCGAGCGTCTCTTTGATATTCCCACCAGCAAGGACCTCAAGGTTGTAGACGGCAAGTGTGCGGGCAAACGCGCCTGCCCCGTCAGAGATGTACGCGTCTGTCCCAAATTGGGTTTGGCCGGCTGTGAGGATGTCGATGTCGCCGTCGGCATCAAGGTCGACCGAGTGGATTTTGATACCCGAAGAGGCAAGAACGAGCGGAACGGGGTCAAATGATCCAGCTACCTCAGTGTTCCAGAAGACGCGGTTGGCGTTGATCCCTACGGCAGCAGCGGCGGCGATGTCAAGATCGCCGTCTGCGTCAAAGTCGCCGACTGCTACATCGACCACCGCGTTTAGAGTGGCGATGGTGACGGCGGTGCCAAACGAGCCCGCGCCGTCGAGATGGGGGACCCAGGCGACGCGGTCGTCGTCTTTGCTGACGTATACCACGTCGGTCGTTCCGTCTTGGTTGATGTCGCCGCCAGCAGTGCCTGTGACCTGGGCTGACGGCGCAGTGATGAGTGCAAGTGGCGCAAAGGCTGACGACGAGACCCAGTCGTTGCGAATCCAGAAAAGCTCGGACGGACTGCGCGAGCCGGCAACAATGTCGGGTGCGCCGTCGTTGTCGATGTCGACAACCGCCATATTAATGACAGTTACGCCATAGGCCGTGGTGAGGGTCGATGCCGTCCAGAGCGAGCCATCACCATTGGTGTTGTGGTACACGCTCATGCCGGTATCCCACGAGGCGACAATGTCGTCGACACCATCGGCGTCGACGTCGAGAGCGACCACGTCAGCGACCTTGGTGGCTGCAGCAACAGTTCCGCCGAGGGCAAACGAGACGGTGTTGGTGGCGTGGCCAGTGTTGGTCAGCCACACAATCGAGTTGCCAACGGCGACTGCGACGTCAAGGTGGGCGTCAGTGTCAAAGTACCCGAGCGCCATATCCTCGGCCTGGCTGGCGGTGAGACCGGTGTAGGCTGACGCTGGCTGGGCAAACGTCACACCAGCAGCGGTGATCGATGCTAGGCGAAGAGTTGAGCTTCCAACGACCGAGTACGCCACAAAGGTGTGAACGGCCGCCGAGTGGCGCGCGACGACGGCAGTGGGCGCGGCGGGCAGATTGACAAACGAGTGGAGGAGCGCCGGGCTGGCACGCGGCGCAGCCCAGACAAGCCGCGACGAGTCGGGCAGGCCGACAAAGATTGCGTCAGAGCTTGTCGATGGCATCCAGGCGAGCGATACCTGGTTCATGCCGATGAGTGCCGCAGGGAGAGTATCGGCAAAGACGTTGTAGGCGGTGGCAGCGGCCGAGGGTGGGAGGACGACAAGCGCACCCACAGAGGCAAAGCCTGCCACAAGCGCAAGGTCGCCAGAGCCTTGCACGTCGCCGATGGCGCACGAGGTGAGTTCGGCACCAAGTGGTGCGGTGTACGCCGCCGGGAGCGGAAAGGAGGCGAGTGAGGCTGGCGACGCCGGGCGCCAGATAAAGGCCGAGAGCGAGGCACCGTCGGCAATGGCAAGGACAAGCGCAGATCGATCTGGCGCCGACGAGACGCAAAGCGACCCAGAGGCGCTCACTGGCGCCGCGGTGATCTCGTAGTCAAGAGCGGAAAAGCCTGACGACCGGGCATAGACAAGGAGCTTTGCCGATCCAGCCACGTCGGCGGCGACGAGGAGAAACTTTCCGATCATCTCGGCCGAGTGCATGACAGACAATGCTGGAACAGCCGGACTAGTACTCGCCATCAGAGTCGAGAAAGAGGCAGCATGCTGAATGTCAAACGCCGGCGACCAGACGACGGCGACAAACTCATCGATGAAGGCATTGCCGTTGAGCTCTGCATTGACAAAGAACAACGAAGCAGAGGACGAGGACGAGAGAGGCGACGCCAGCGAGAGGGTGGCGTGATGAAAACATTGATGCGGCAGAGTTGATGAAATGTTGGCCATCATGAGCTGTGACGTGGTGAGGAGGGCAACAACATGGTTCTCCACGTTGCTCGCCAGTGGGAAAAAAGGCGCCGAGTCAAGACATGCCGAAGGTTCCGGGCTGGTACACGACGGGACTTCCCTTGCCACCACGAGGCCAATGAGGCAGCTTACACCCACAGCCATGGTCATAGCCACTACAAGCAATGTAGAAGCGTGCATGGAAGGTGGGCGGGGCGGGTGTGGGGGGGGGGGGGGAGGGTCGTGAAGTGAGGTGGCGGTGGGGGGGGGGGTGATCACGATCGGGATCGTGATCACGACTAAGGAAGGATGGCTTTGGGTTAGGGTTCACTACGCCGGAATGGATGATCGGATGAGCAACAGAAGGAGAATGACGAGATGGGTGAAAGCAGAGGCCGCAAGGTTGTGTTGTGCCGTATAACGCGGGGAATGGCAAAGACGATGTGATTGGGAGAGGTTTGGGGCAGAGAGTAAACTTGACTCTGAAGGAAAATAATTGATGATGCGCTGAGAACAAACGGAAAGTTGCTACGTCGGGTCGGGCTGGGCTGGCTTTGGCCTTGGCCTCTGTGGGCGAACACACGAATCGATGACGCAACAAGCAACAAGAAAGGATATTGAACATTCAACTCTCATTTCGAAGGTTTTTCAAGAAATCATGGACACCAAGTCAAAGGGCGCTCAGACGAAGGAGCATCATGTCTCGCGTACGTTCGTCCAGCCTTGATAGAGAAGACTGTTGCATGTGCTTCCTCGCCAAGTGGCGGCTCTGTCCATGGTCTCTTTCACTGTCTAGCGCGGTGGGCCAGTGCGTAGACCATGACCGACCCAGAGCTTGAAATTTTGCTTTGTTCCTTGGAACACGACCAGCCGTGGGCCCCATGGTTGGATGGTGAAGGAGGTGGTGTTGAGGGTGGGTGACGAGGAGAGAGCCACACGTTGGAATGGGCGTTCATCTCATGGGGATCTATGTGGTGTGTGGTTTGTAGGGACTGGCACGCGCGGTACGGCTGCCAAGGGCGGTGCTGGTGGCAAGGGCACCTGGGGCCGCGCTGACGACCCGTCGGCTCAGCTTCAGGCGGCGACGGACCCGGCGTACCTCGACAAGAACGATCCCAACTATGTTGAGGATGAGAGTGGGGGCGACGAGCTCCTCACTGCCGACGACGCGTAGCCGACATTGGAGTTTGGCGAGTGTTTGGCCTCTGTGGCTCCTCTCGTGTCGCACATGAACAATGAATTGCGATGAGCGTGATGGCAGTGGGTGGGAGGTGGAGGGGCGGTTCGGTTTAGTTTCAGCCATGCTGACGGCGCCGACGGCCGGCAGGTGCGGTGCCGGGACGAGCGCGCAAGCCGCGGCGCTCGAGGTTTGTGGGGATGGTGTCAAGAATGCGCTCCATCTCGGCGTGGCGGATGCGATCGTACTGCTTGCGTACGCGCTTGATCTCGGCGTCACGGGCGGCGGCACGCTGGGCGCGCTCCTCGGCGACGATCTTGCGAGCGGCGCGCTCCGACTCGATGCGGCGCTCCTTGCGGTCGAGTTTCTTCTCCAGGGCAGCCTTCTTGCGCTCCCACGCGCGCTTCTGGCGCTCCATGTTGGCCTCCCAGTTGCGGCGCTTAGCCTCCTCGTAGCGGATGGTGCGGGCGCGGCGGGCCTCGATGGTCTCGTGGCGGCGCCGGAAGACGGCGGCGCGCTTGTCCTGGCGCTCCCGGATCTTGGCGAGCTTGCGGACCTCCTCCTCGGCGGTGGCCTCGAGGGCGAGCATGCGGCGCTTCTCCTCGACGCGGCAGAGCTTGGATGTGGTGTGGCGGAGCTTTGTCAGGCCATTGACGTCGAGCTCGTAGTGGAGCAGGTTGCGGTCGCGGGCCTCCTCCTGGTAACGATGCAGGTGCTCCTCCTCCAGCTCTCGCGCTCGCAGCTGCTTCTGAAACTGCCTCTGTCTCCGAATGGCGAGCTCGACTCTGCGCTCTTCCTCACGCTCCTCGCGCTCAAGCAGCTCGGCCGCCATCGCCGTCTCTCTACGAACCTTCTCCTTTCGCCGAGCCTCACGCCGGGCCTCTTTCTGCTGCTTCTGCGAGACTTGAAGCCTCATCGCATGGTATGCCCTCTCCGACTGCGTGCAGCGCGTGTGTGAGTCTGATCCGCACCCACGCCGTGGATTCGTCGGCCCACACCCAGGTTACCACCCAGGCTGCGATCTCGTAACGCCCGTCGACTCTACACCAACGTCGAGTCTCGCGTCTCGACTCGACACCAACGTCGACTCTCGCCCGTCGACTCTACGCCAAACGATCTCGTCCCGCCCATCTCCTTCAACTATAACTACAAATCATGCCTGCAGACAAAACCTAGCCCAGCCATAGCTCGGCCTGCGATAGCTGTTCATGGCTCTGCTGCTGCGGATGACGAAGAAGCCGAGCTCCGCAACGACTGGCAAGCAAGCGAGGTGGTGGTCATGACATACCTGGTGCAGCTTCCTCTGAGCATCCTGCAGTGACAACATCCTCGCTCTCTCTCCCGTTCACTGTAGTTATATGTCTCTCTTGCAGGAGGGAGGTGGGGGGGTGTGCAGGGACGGGGGAGGGAAGGGTGAGCGTGAGGTGGTGCTTGTCCTGTCCGTTGCGAAGAGCTGAGGCGGGTGAGCCGATGAAAGCCGTTGCCTCCAATTGGTCAATTAACGAACGTTCACACTCTCGTTGTTTCCGCCAATTGATCTTCAATGACTTTCGTAGATCTTCCCCGCTTCTCCCCCCGTGCATCACGCCTGGCTCAGGCGCTCGGGCTAGAGCAGCCTCATCGAAACGCAATCATAATCAAAATCACTGCGCTCACGTTGATCTTGCAGCAATCATCGCCGTTTACTTCTTTCTTCCCAAAGGAGAGGCAGGTGGTTCTTGCATGGGCGGTTGCCACGCACGGGCAGCTTTCACGACCTTTTTCGGAGATCAAGCCGTGATCACTCCCCCCCCCCCTCCTCCTCTTCCCCCCCCCTCCCGCGGCTCTTCTCCGCCCTCTACACACACTCCAGGATTTTTGTCACCTTATCCTCCCTCCCATGCAGTGCTTCTTTCTTCTGTCTCTATGGCCATACCGGCCACCATCGGCCGTCCAACGATAACCAGGCCATGCCAAAACGCAGGACGACAGGCTGGCAGCCGGCCTGTCGCCGATCACGCCAGGATCATGGTCACCGCCCTTCTCCTTCCACTCGCCCCCCCCCCTCCACCTCTCGCCAGAACCAGCATGGCGAGCGTGTCAACCGAGGCGTATGAAACGCAACTTGCGTTGTTGGAGGAACAGCTGGTGGGGGAGATGCTCAAGAACGAAGAGTTGACCGCAGAGGTGGCCGAGACCAAGGCGGCGCTGGCGGCGGCCCGGACTTTGGCGAACGCCGGTAGTGGCAGCAGGTCAGGCAGCGACGGCGGTGGTGGTCCTCCCAGAGGTGAGGGAGAACAAGGTGCTGCGCGGTTGAAGGGGAGTACTGGCCTCCAAAGCGATGGCTGGGAGGTAGTGGTCGACGATGATAACGATGGCCAGGCTGCTCAGGTGGAAGAGACCGGGGTCTGGGCTCGGCTCGCTGGCTTTGTCCGCCTGTTCGAGGAGACGGAAGGTAGTGTGATGGCGGCAGCGGTGGCCCAGATGGTTGAAGTGCCGCCGCAGCGCTTCCGCATTCGCATCTTTAAGCGTGCGGTGGAGCGGATGACAGATGCGGTGCAGCCGGTCATGGCTGTTGGCGAACTTGTGCGAGACATCCATCTCTGGACGCGACCGCCGCTGACCATCCTCGTCATCCTGGTCTACGCATGGGCCGCGTGGCATGGCTGCTTCCTGAGTGTGATGTTTGCCCTTGCTGCCGCTGCCATGGGCCGTCACTGGCTGGCGCAGCAGCTCGGGTGGCGAGCAACAGCAGATGGCGCAGGAGGCGAGAAGCCCGACAGTGTCGGTGACGACGACGAAAGCTCGGATGGTGCGCTGGCTGGACTGAAGGATCGTTACAACACGCTCGTCGACGTGGCGTCCAAGCTTCAGGCTGGGCTCGAGACTGCTGCCGACGTGCTGGAAAAGCTGACCAATCTGGTCACTTTCCGTGCGCCGACGTACTCGGCGCGTGTCTTTGGAGTCCTGACCGCGTGTGCCTGTCTCGCCGCCATCCTTCCAACCGATACGATGCACCTGATCCTCGCATTTAGTGTGGGCGTGCACTTTTTCATCTACGCGCCGATCTGCGCCAAGTTCCCGGCCTTTCGTGCTCGCTACGACGACCCGCCGATTCTGGAGCGGCTGCCGACCAACGTCGACCTGCAAGTTATGGCGGCGCTCGAAGCGGCTGACTCGACGGCAAGCAGTGAGGACGGGCCGGCATTCGAAGCGCCGCAGGATGACAGCCGGCCGCTGCCAACTGCGAGTAGCGAGATAGGCACAAGTGAGCTCGCCGCGCTGCGGACCGGCTTTGCGCTGCCACCGAGCGAGCAGCTTGTGCTGAAGCAAGTTGCAGCGCGGCTGCATGTGAGCAAGCCGTGGCAGGGCGGGCGCGGGACGCTGTACGTCTTTGAGTCGTTTGTGGCGTTTGAACAAAGCTCGTCAAACTTGCTGGGCATCGGCAAGCGGCGTGGAGCCGATCGGTTTGTGGCTGCCTTTCCGCTCGAGAGCCTTCTGGCAGTGGAGGAGACGAAGGCGTACGCGTGGCTGCCGGGCAAGGGTTTCTGCCTCAAGCTGGTCTTTGATATCTCGCACGCGCTGCAAAGTGGATCCGTGTCCGGGGCGCGGGGCGGGGTGGTGCTCTCACCATTACTGGTTCCCGACGCCGATCCTCATCCGCAGGCGCGGCTCGGCTCGGCCACGCTGCTGCTCGGGCAGCTGCTGCATCGGTCCGACCTGGCGTCTCTCATCCAGCGGCAGGCCAAGGCAGTTCGCAAGCTTGTCTCGTCGAAGAAACTGGTGTAGAGACATCCCTTGCCGGCTACGGCTGCGGATGCTTCCGGACGCGGGCGAGGATGGCGGCGATGTCGTCGACAGGGCTCTCATCGCTCGATGAGTACCCAGAGTTGGAGACGTCGTCGTCGAGGGCTTCGCCGAGCTCGCGGCCCAGTGACTTGCAGTCTTTGCGCGACGCCTCCAGAAGCTCTTCCTCAGAGGCTTCGACCAGGTGCTCGACAACGGCGGCGAGGATGGCGCCCTCGGGGTGGTTGATGGCGAGCAGGAGCTTGGCAGTCACGATAACATACTCGGGATTCGCCATGATGGCTTCGGGCGTGGGGTTGCGGATAAAAGCTCTGAACTCCTTGGACGCGTACATCTTCTTGACATCACGCACATCGTCCAGCACGCCCTCGCCAGCCTTCTCCACCACGTTAACCAAGTGGCCAGTCCCCTTCTTGCCCACCTTGCCCGTCTTGCGCCCGCCCGACTTTGCCACTGCCACTACTTTGCCCGCCTTGGTCTTTGCACTCGACGCACCAGCTCCGATCTTTCTACCCCAACCTCCCGACGATGACGCTGATGTCGATGACGCTGGCGACGCTGACGACGCTGACGACGCTGATGACGATGATGATCTTGTCCGTCGCTTCTTGCGCGACTTGCTCGCCGACTTGCGCGACTTGCTCGCCGACTTGCGCGACTTGCTCACCGACTTGCGCGACTTGCTCGCCGACTTGCGCGACTTGCTCGACTTGCTCGCCGACTTGCGCGACTTGCTCGCCGACTTGCGCGACTTGCTCACCGACTTGCGCGACTTGCGACTCAAAGACGACGTCCGTGCCATACTCGACCACCTCTACAGTCAGTGATGTGTCCAGCGTCTCGTGTCTGCCGACCATTTCCAGTCACTCGGTACCTTCCCCCGCACTGCCGGTGACAAGTCATTCGTTGGCGGCAGGCCGAGCCATTCCCAGTATCGACGACTGATCGTTGGCACGATATGCGTGTGCTGGAGCTGCAAGGGCTCCGGCTGAGAGCTCGGAACGCAGAGCAATGGCTCTCGATGTTGTAGCAGTGCCCAAGGGGCGAGATGTGTCCCATCTCGGGTAACGTCGTCTTGATCATCATGGCGACCAGGATCGGCTCAGGAGCGACGCCGACCCAAGTGCCGCAGCCACGTCGGCAATACGCTCAGCGCCTCCCCGCGCACAAGCATGCCCCCCACACATGTCCACCCCCTTCTGCCTCCACCTCTGACCTGAATCCCACCACCCCTCCCCTGACTCTAATTAATCCACCTATCATCACAGCCGACCTTCCAACCCCCTTCACTATTCTTCTCACATCGCATCGCATCGCATCGCATCGCATCGCATCGCATCAACCCATTTGTTCGCTCGTTGGCTACGATTATTCGCTCGTTCACTCAATCGTTCGTTCGCACCATCGCTCGCTACGATTATTCGGTCGCTCGCTCAATCGTTCGTTGGCGGCATTTTCGTCATGGGCCTCAGCCGCACCACCCTGGCCACTCCTTCCGGCATAAGACGGGCAAGGGTGTAGGCACACCTGTCCCCAAGACCATGCTGCGAGGAAGAGAGCAAGTTACAGGACGACAGAGGACATGGGTTCTCCTTGGAGTCTGTGGCTGTCTCGTTGTCCTCTTCTCGGCGGCTGTCTTCCTCTCGGAAGGGAGGACTGACAAGGTGCCACTCCCGCCAACTCGTTCATCGACGCCATCATCATCACCATCATCATTGTCAACATCGACATCGTCATCGTCATCGTCATCGTCATCGTCAACAAGCAAGCGATCGACGTCGACGTCCGTTGACCCTCACCGTCATCATGATGATCATCGTTCTGTTCATGTTGATGCGGATGCTGTTCATGCCGATGATGTCCATGCCGATCATGCTGTCGTGAACACTCGATCGCATCAGACTGCGGCTGTGGTTGCACTCAACTCGGCTCATGAAGCTTACATCCGGTGGAGGCGGGACTCGAAGAATTGGGTGCGGGATGATGGGACTGCCCTGGCGGTGGCAAGGGCAAAGGCTATGAAGGATGCGGCCGAACATGGCGCTGTCGCCGCCGTATTTGCTGTCGCTCGTGCTCTCGACAGCGACAGCATCAGTCCCGCAGACAGCAACGCCGAGGCAAAAGTCCTCTCGCAGCTTCCCAAGGCTCATCGGGACGCGCTCGAGTCGCGCATTGCGGTCCGTGGCTCGCTGGAGATGGTCGCTGGCTTTCCGCGCATGGCCTCCGGTGCCTCGCCCGAGAGCCTGCACGGCTACACGCTGGTGAGTGAGGCCGTTGGCGAGACGCCACGCAAGGCATATGTCTTTGGCGCCCGTGACGGCGTCCCGGTCATGCACCCGGTCCCGCTCTGGGGCTACCAACTCTACGATGGCTCAGTGGTGGTGGCCGACTCGCCGGTGCGGGTGGTGGCCAGTGGCAAGCGCTTTGTGGCCGAGTACAATGGCCAGCAGCATGTGCTGGAGACTGTCGACGAGGTGGTGGCGTTGGAGACGAGGGCACGCAAGTCCGAGTCCGAGGCCGCCGCCGCCGCGGCCTTTGTCAACTCCAAGCCGATGCAAGAACTCACAGTTGCCGTGCTCATTGTCAAGTTCTCAGACGAGGCGAGTGCGCCGACTGACGTTGGCTCGTTCACACGGCTGATGAACAAGGTTGAGGCGTACTGGACCTCCAACTCGAACGCGTGCTCGTCAATGAGCCTCACCTTTTCGCCGATCCTGGACCTGGCCGGGACCCGGGCGTCGTACGGCGGAGCAGCGTGCCCGATCTCGTCATCGGGAGCGACAACGTCGCCGCTGGACGACGATGCGTGGAACGCGTGGTCCGGCCACTCGCCGTCCGACTACGACCGGTACATCATTGTTTTCTCCGAGTTTTCGACTTGCCCATGGGCCGGCCTCGGCCTGGTGGCAGGCGGCGCGTCTTGGATCAACGGCGTCACCGACCCGGACGCTCACTGGCACGTCACTGCCCACGAGCTTGGCCACAACTACGGACTCAAGCACGCAAACTTGTGGGTGACGGCAGACCGAGCCTCGCCCGGTGGCGACGGTGAGTCTGTGGCCTACTTTGACGACTTTGACATCATGGGTGCCATTTCAATCGAGGCCGACCGGAGCTCGTTCCACGTCAACCCGCACAAGAAGTTCGGGCTTGGGTGGATTCCGAGCAGCGACGTGGCAACGGCCACGACGTCGTCATGCTCGACCACCCCGTGCACATATCGGATCAAGGCCCATGACCACCAGGGCGCGTCCGGAACGCGGGCACTCCGCATCCTACAGTCGGGCAACCGATGGTACTGGATGGGCGTGCGGCAAGCGATCGACTACGCGCCAGCCGCGCGGTTCTTTGCCAATGGCCTTGTCTTTCACTACATCGACGACTTTGGCGACTCGCAGGTTGAGCGTGAGTCAAACCTGCTCGACATGACTGCGCCGTACACTTCGTCGTCGGCGTGGACGAACTTGACCGACGACGCTCCGCTGCAGGTCGGCTACTCGTATCGCGACGCCGGGGCAGGTATCACCATCACCCCTGTGGCGCGGTACAACGATAATGCAGGCAACGCGGTCATGGACGTGGCAGTCTACACTGGGCCGGTCAACAACGCACCAGTGGTGTCGTCGCTGGCGCTCGGCGGTGGCTGCAGTACGCCCACGGTCGGCGAGGCGCTTGTGTTTGAGGCCTCGGCTTCAGATCCCGACGGTGACGTCCTAGTCTACGGGTGGAACTTTGGCGACGGCAACTACGGCTCGTCGACCGGTCCGCGCATCACCCACGCGTACGGCACCTCACACGCATTCACGGTGACGGTGACTGTGTCGGACACACGCGGGTCAAGCGCCACTCGGACACTGGCAGTGACCGTCGATAGCGGCGCGGGCTCGTGCGGGTGCACGGATGCGAGCTCATGCTCGGGCCACGGCGTGTGCGCCGGGAGCGTGTGCGCGTGCTCTGGCAACTACACCGGGGCGACGTGTGGGACCGAGCTGAGCGTGGCGTCGCTGAGTCCGGAGCACAAGGTTGGCGCCCCGGCAGGGACCAACGTGACGGTCACGACGACCGCTGGCGTGTTTGCGGTGGGCGGTGAGCCGTGGTGCTGGTTCCGTCCGCAGCGGCCGACCCGCGGCTACCGCCTCAGCGAGACGACCGTCAACTGCCCGGTACCGACGCCGGCAACGCTCTCTTCCGATCCGTACACGGTGGTGGTGGAGGTCTCGCCGAACGGAGGGAGTGACTGGTCGGACTCGCGCAAGCCGTTTACCTACGGCGACTGCAAGGACGCGATGTGCTCGGGCCACGGGACATGCGTGCAGGCTGTCGGCCGGTGCGCGTGTGGCACCGATTGGACGACGGACCCGACGACGTCGAACGAGTGCGACAAGCCACTTGCGCTAACCTCGTTTTCGCCTGCGGCTGGGCCGACGACGGGCGGGCTCCGAGTTAGCCTCGCCGGCTCGAGCTTTGACGTCTCGCCGTCGTGCGCCGACGTCGTGGTCAGAGTTAAGGACACCGGGTCGTCCGGCTGGGAAGCCGTGGTGCCTGCGCAGCGGCTGTCGGGCACGACAGCCGCGGTTGTGCTCCCCGCCGCGCCTTCGGCGATGACGGTCTCTGTTGAGATTTCGCCGAACCGCGGGCGCGACTGGGCGGCGGCAGCCGGCAGCTTTACGTACATTGCCGCGGCAACGCTGCACGAAGGCGAGACGCTGACCGGCCGCGTGGCGTCTTCCGGCGCGACAGACCGGCTGTACTTTGAGTCGTTCTTTGGCGATGCCTCGGTGGGGCTGAGCGTGACTCTGACCTCTCCCACAGGCGGCAACGTCAAGCTTGCGGTCGGCCTCGGGGTCGGCGCACACGACTCGGCATGCGCAGAGAGCATGGTGGAGTGCCCGGCCGGGAACAGTCTGTCGTTTGCTGCCGGCTCGAGCTTTGTGGGCGTGTACTCGATCGAGGTCTCGACGACCGACGCCGGCGGGGCCGACTACTCGCTGACGATGGGCGTGGCCGGCGGAGCCGGCACAGTCATCGGGGTCACACCCAACGCAACGGCGGCACAGCCGGGCTACTCGGCGTCATCGAGTGAGTGGCGGCAGTATCGCGTGCCGCACGTGACGGGGCCGTTTGCGACCCGCGTTGCTGCAGTGGCGAGCGACTCGGCGCGGCCGGTGAGGATGGCGTACGTGGCCGGCGGCAGCGCGCCGGTGGATGCCAGCACAAGCGGGGCGCGAGTGGCAGACTCGTTTGTGGTGCAGGCGTGTCAGGACTCGGCGAGCTACTTGATGGGCGTTGCAGCAGACGGATCAACGGGCAACACCGGCGGAGCCGGATTCAAGCTCTCGGCGCTCCGCATCTCGCCGCCGACAGCGCCGGTGGAGTCTGTGGCAGTCTCGTCGACGTTCCGGTCGATCACGATCGGGTGGTCTGCGGCAAGCGACCCGCGGACGCCGTCTGACGAGCTCGAGTACTGGGTGTACTACCAAGGCTCGCTGACGGCTGGAACGTTCAACACGACGTGCCGGGCACGGGCGGGGACGCTTGCAGCCGGCCCGCTCAAGGGTCTCGAGCGATACACTGTGCGGATTGGGTCGCTCAAGCCCGCATTTGCGTATGACCTCGCCATTGTGGTGCGGAACAGCGACGGAGTGGAGACGACGTACGGGCAGCAGACCAAGCGAACGGTGCCGTCGGGTATCCCACCTCAACGCTGATCATCATCGGCGTGGCGGCGGCAGCGTGCATCCTGCTCTCGTGCGTGGCGCTGCGGTTCTGGAAGAAGCGCAAGCGGCGGAAGACGCTGGCCAAGCAGCAGGAGGCGCGGGCCAAGGCTGGCGCCGCTGCCGTCTCGACCCGCAAGGCCAAGGCCAAGGCCGCGTTCAAGCCGCGTGGCAAGGGCGAGCTCAAGGTGGCGCAGGGTGAGGTGGTCATCCTTATGGGCCAGCCGACCAAGCAAGGTTGGATCATGGCGCGGTCGGCCAAGGGCAAGCAGGGTCTTGTCCCGTTCTCGTACTTTAAGCTTGCGCAGGGCAAGGGCAAGGGCAAGGGCCGCAGCGGCCGGCGCAAGTCGAGCAGCGGGAGACGCGGCAGCAACCGCGTGTAGTAGTGACATCTGCAGCCTACTCGTCATCAGCAGTGGCAGAACGTTAGAACGTGTGCGTTTAAAAGGGTCACCACGTGCGAGCGCGCCTCCCACCTCAAGCCGCAGGCCAAGCAGGCAAGTGCGAGGCTAGGTAAGGAGCGGAAGAATGTGGGCGCGGAAGACGGCCTCATCGCGGACCCAGTCCATGTGGGAGACGCCGATGGGGGCGGAGAGGTGAAGGCGGCCATCTTCAGCGAGCGAGCGAAGGCCGAGCATGTCAGCCTTGTAGAATGGCTGATCCTCGAGTGGGACAATGTCCGAGCGGTGATCGCTCCAAAAGCCAAACATGGTCGACTCCCACGGCTGAATGGTGCCGTCATCGGGCGAGCCGAGGAGAGAGAAGGAGCCGAGACGGAGGATGTTTGCGCGAAAGGCGTCAGCACGAGGATTGCTTGGCAACGAGACGTTGTTAGCCACCGCAAGGTAGAGCGAGTCCCTGCAGAACTCCTTCTGATGGTAAGGATCGTTCCAGTAGCCGGCGGCGGAGAAGGTGGCCTGCATAGGCTTTGTGTAGAGGACGATCCAAGCCAGGTCGGCCTCCAGATCATGCAGAGGAGCCGGCCAATGGTTGAGCGAACCAAACTGGCCCATTTGCGGACCTGCGAGCGAGATGAGCGAGGCGATGTTGTGATCATCCATAGACTGAGCCAGGGTCCTCATGGCGATGGCACCCTGCGAATGGCCGATGACATGGTAGCGAGTCAGGCCATGGACGGCCGTGTAGTTGCGGATAAAGGCAGCGACGGCATCGACCTGCTCCCACATGGGCTTGTACGATGCTGCGCCATTGAACATGTCGATGGCCACAAAGTCCTGTCCGGGATGCGCTGCCTCCACCCACTTGGCCATGGTCGCAAAGTCCTCGCCACTCCCGCCAAAGCCATGGTAGGCAAAGACAGGCAGGTAGCCGACGTCCGTGGTGCCGGCCGTGGTGCCCGAGGCAGACGTTGTCCTGGTGCTGAGGAGGACGACCGTCGTCACCACAAGGGCGAGGAGCTGCATAGGCTTGATGTGGTTGGGCATGGTGGTGGAGTGACGAAATTTGTGGGGGAAAAGCATAAAACGAGATCCCCTATTTAGAGGGGGAGCAAAAGGCCCCCCGGCAATGCTGTCCTTGCAAAGAACACTCTCAA